TAAAATGAACTTGAGTAAGTGTCACTTATCGTACAAACCAAAAAATAAAAAATAAAAAAAAACTCCCCGTCACCCGTGATCCGTGCATCAATGTACCAAACCAATGTGGTGCTTTTGTTATTGGGGTCAAAGTTGGTGTCAGTTGGTGATATGATGATGTCGTGTATTACCCAATTATTCACTTGCTAGGCTGATGCAGGTGCGTTTATGTAAAATATAAATACTATAATGCAACCTGTATTTTTGTGGACTACAATTTATTATTTTTTTTTTTTGTATCTAGAAAACTATTTAAATTAATTAATTGCTAGCTCTCATCACATATTTAGGACCTGTCTGGTGTGACTTATGAGAGTTTTAGCTTTTTGAGTACTGTAATAAATGATCAGTTTAAATTTTTATTGGAGAGAAAATAGAGTTTTAGCTTTTAAAAAGGTGAAAAAAGAAGTGAAAAGTAAGTAAAAAGGGAATTTATGAAAAATTTAGATTTGAAACTTTTGAACTTTTACTGTTTAAAAGCTTTTTAAGATTAAAAAAATATTTAAAAATATAAATTTTAAAAAAAAATTTAAATTTATAAGATATAAATAATATCCAAAAACTGAAGCACCTAATAACTGGAGCAAACAGGCTCTTAGTTGTCTACAAGGCGTCCCAACATTGTTTTGGCTCAAGTCGGAAGAAGATTGTGTATATTAGTGTTGGATTTTTTTTTTTTCCCTGAATTGCATGTATCTGCCTTTTTAGGTAAAGCTGATAGGAGGTAATGGGGCAGCCACTGCCTAATTAATGATATCGCTCGGTGGTAGGGGTAGGGGGCATTGAATCCAATAGCTGATTTGGCTTCATCAAGTACCGCCATGTGCAAAAGATATTATGCTTTTTCAGAAAGAAGACCAAGACGATGAGCAAAAATGCGAGTCAATACTAACCACGTATTGATTTAGAAAAAAATAAAAAAAAATTTAAATAAAATTTAAATTTTATATTTTGTAAATAAAAATAAATATTAAAAAATTTCTTCACTTATAAAATATAACATAATTTAACTTCAAAATAGTTAAATATCTAATATAATTTTTAAATGTTGAAAATTTAATAAAAAAAAAAATTACACCTAATCCTTCAAATTTAATGGCATTAATTATATTTAAAAAAAATGTACTTCCCTGCTCTTTGGGCCTGAATTCGATCTCCCCTCCCTTGTTAACATGTTAAAAAAAAAAGAAAAAAGAAATCAAGTCAATGAGTCTTCGGCCAACGGCCCTGACCCACCTGTTGCTGTACAAATATAAAGCAAAGCAATAGTCTTCGGCCCTGACCCACCTTGCTGCCATTAACGAACCAATGACGAGTCTTCGGCCCAGCCACCTTGCTGGCTATATATAATACGTAGTATCCTATCTCTACTTATTAAAATACCAAAGACACCATTTCGTTACGAATTAACAAGGGTTTGATGTAAACCGTACAATAATGGTTATTTTACAACCATACAATGATTGATTTGTGTTTGTTTTTAATTGCGAGATTGATTTACTCCATTCACTAACTACAATGGTTGATTTATCTTTTTGTCTTAAGAAAAAAAATGTGGATATTATCACACTTTAAATGATTAAAATTATATTTTTA